CTGAGGAATGAGGTGAGGGAAAGAACCCTGGTTGCATAGGACGCGCCCGCAGGGCTCCTCTCATGTGACCCTAGAGTTGCCAAAGCTTGGAGACAAGCACACAGCGGGCTGCCAGGGCTGGGTGAGGTCCCAGGGGTCAGTGCTTGGCAATGAGGGCCAAGGTTCAGCTTGGGAAAAATGAAATGGTAAATTTTATATTATGTACATTTTGCCATAATAAAAAAAAAAAAGACAGCCAGGTGATGGCTCACTCCTGTAACCCCAGCACTTTGGGAAGTGAAGGAGGGAGAATCCCCAAAACCCCATCTCTACAAAAAATACAAATTAAAAAAATGAGCCAGGCCAGGCACGGTGGCTCACACCTGTAATCCAGCACTTTGGGAGGCCGAGGCAGGTGGATCATGAGGTCAGGAGATCAAGACCATCCTAGCTAACATGGTGAAACCTCATCTCTACTAAAAATACAAAGTTAGCTGGTCCTGGTGGTGCATGCCTATAATCCCAGCTACTAGGGAGGCTGAGGCAGGAGAATCGCTTGAACCTGGGAGGTGGACGTTGCAGTGAGCTGAGATGGTGCCACTGCACTCCAGCCTGGGCGACAGAGCAAGACTCTGTCTCAAAAAAAAAAAAAAAAAATCATCCAAAAAACCACAACACAGAGCCTTTAAATTCATTTTTCAGACAGCGGTGCTGTTTTAATATGCACCCCCCTCCCCACTCTACCAAGCTCTCCTCTTTCCAGCCTGAACCAGCGTTTCTGGCCGCCAGGCTGTGCGTCTGCATGGAGGCCTGTGGCGGTGATATACTCTGTGGTCAGGATGCAGCCTCTCCCCTGGTGGCCCCAGCCCCAGCCTGGGAAGCCCCTCCCCGCTGGCTCTGCCCTGTGACAGGAGACCTCCCAGGAAGGGCAGAAGGGCAGCAGGATGCATCCTGTCCTCACCATCCCAAGTCCTTCTAACCTCTCAGCACTTCAAAGCCACTGGATTTTAAAAATTAAGTATATCAAGAAAGAAAGAAAAAAAATTCTATCATACACTGAGCATGAAAGAAAGAAAAAAAATTCTATATACACTGAGCATGAAAGAAAGAAAGAAAAAAAATCCTATCATACACTGAGCATGAAAGAATAAAGAAAGAAAAAAATTAAGTACATTGTGTTTAAATGTGTATTTCTCTGTTAAAAACTGTTAAAACTCTTCAATTTAGGTAAACCGATTTTGTCAGCACTTCGCACTTTTGAGCCTATGGCTACGTGATTACTGAGAAAAATCAGAGCAGGCACTCCAAATTATTTAGACACAAAAGCGGAAACGTCTGCAAGGCCACGCGACCAGCGCCCGCGCGAAGCCCGCTAGGTGACAGAGGCTGCTCTCGCTGTCCTGCAAGTGAATTAAGATCACTGTTCTCCCCTTTGGGCTTGTTTTATTCTTTCGTGGATTTTGAAGACATCACGGCAGCAGCAGATGAAAAGCAGCAGGTGCACAGCTCACTTCTGGACACTAAGACCAGACGCGGCGGAAACCGGTTCCTTCCGGCCCCAGCCCCCATGCCAGAGCCCACCGCCAAGCCTCACCTGTCCGGATGGCGTCCTCCAGCCTGGGGTTTCTCTCTCCCTGGAGAAGCCGGTGGTAGTAGCCAGGATTCTGGTCCATCTGAGCCTGGGCCCCACTCAGCGCCATCCAGACGCGGGCACGGTGCTCCAGCGGGACCCCTTTCCGGACATAGCGCTTCACTAAAACCCGAGAGGACAGAGGGCGCCTCAGCTGGACCAGAGGCCCGCAGAGCCCACGCGCCCCTGACACCTTCCGTTCTTGCCACTTCTCTTCTGAAATCAAACATTAAAAAGACCCAGAACTTCATCTCCACCAAAACTGGCATATACACTCCTTTAGAAATTCTGCTCTCCCTCCCAACAGAGCGTAAATCAGACCAGCTACAGAACCACCCCCAGGCCCACTTCACCACCCAATGCCAGGTGGTCGGGACACCCAGGACCCCAGTCAGATGGATGCTCTGGAAAGTTCCCTGAGAGCTGTGCAGAGGAGCAGTGAAGGGGCAAAACAGTGGGAGGCCAAGCTGAGGATGGAGGCCGGCAGCGCTCGGCAGTGAGCACCTCGGTGGGACCCGCAGCGGGAGCACACGGTTCCAGCGCCAGACACCTGTCCTCTGTGTGCAGTTAACATCTACATATTGAAAGCTACTGCATTTTGTAGGGGTATTTTAATTGACAATAAATATGTGAAAAAGTAATTAGTAATTTTCTAATGGCCACAGAAACACATAGGAACAGAAGCCTAAAGCCAGGCACTGTCGCCATTAATCAGTACTGAGTAATTTCTTAGGCGGATGAAAAGCTATGTGTGACAAACACCCAAATTAATTATGATAAGTCCAAAGGTGTAAAACAGTGCTCTTAACCTACAAAACAGTTAATTTTCAAAGCAAGTATTTAGAGTTTTGCTGTTTTCCTTTGATGCTGCACTGCACTATTTTTATTTCATTTTATTTCGAGATCGAGTCTGGCTCTGTCGCCCAGGCTGGAGTGCAATGAGTTCAAGCGATTCTCCTGCCTCAGCCTCCCGAGTAGCAGGGATTAAGGCGGGCACCACTACACCCGGCTAATTTTTGTATTCTTAGTAGAGACGGGGTTTCACCATATCAGCCAGGCTGGTCTCAAACTCTTGACCTTGTGATCTGCCCGCCTCAGCCTTCCAAAGTGCTGGGATTACAGGCATATAAACCGGAGGCATAAGCCACTGTACCCAGCCCTGTACATGTTTTAAAAGAAACTATTCTTTTAAAATAAACCATACTTTAGGAAAAAAAAAAAAAAGTGTATGCAATTTGTGGAATTCCATAAGCTGCCATAAAAAGAAAAAAATCCAAGGCACCAGCTGTATTTAGCAGATAAAAAACGTATAATAACTTTACAGGCTACAGTCAAGAAAAGCACTACAGGGTCAAACTTCATGAGCTTGAATTCCAAGGTGATCCACAATTTATGATCAGCCGACCATGAGCATCTTAAAATGCAGGCTCTGGAAGGACAGACCCTTTTCTGTCCACTGGGCCTCCCGCTCCTGGAAGGGAGCCTGGGGGGGCAGTAAACACTCACTAAATACGTGACGAAGGCCCAGAGGAGAGAGAGAGCAGACACTAACCCCATCCGCTGAAAGCAAAGGATCTGTCTGAAGAACCCTCTTTGCTGGTTTAGAAGCAAATTTGAGGAGCGTATCTCAGGCAAAAGCATCTCAGCACACCTGGCCTATTCACACCGTTTACAGGAACATGGAAAACATGCTTTATTTTTAAAATTCTACTAAAGACAACAATAATTCAGCCTGCCTTTTTCTCCAGGTTAGTACGATTCATACTGAAGTCTGGCTATAGGTCTCGTGATCCCTTAGAGGGCAGCTTGACCAGGAATGCTGAGTGGGTTCTTAGTCATTCTGTGCTGAACAGCAGTGGGGAGGGTCGAGGCCAGCACAGGCAGGGACTGTTCTAACTGAGAGGGACAGAGGCTGAAAGGCCATGCAAACACCAGGGCTACTTCTACAAACTAACGATGAGTACCTGGAACTCATATATTTAAAATTGGGGCCTGGCCTGGTGGTTCACAACTGTAATCCTGGCCCTTTGGGAGGCTATGATGGGTGGATCACCAGAGGTCAGGAGTTCAAGAACAATCTGGCCAACATGGCAAAACCCCGTCTCCACTAAAAATATACAAAAATTAGCTGGGCATGGTGGCAGGTGCCTGTGATCCCAGCTACTCGGGAAGCTGAGGCAGGAGAACCGCTTGAAGCCAGGAGGCAGAGGTTGCAGTGAGCCGAGAGAGTGCCATTGTACTCCAGCCTGGTGAGACTCCATAAAAAAATAAATAAATAAATACAAAAATTAGCTGGGCGTGGAGGTGCACGCTTGTAATCCTGAGGCAGGAGAAGCTTTTGAACCCAGGAGGCAGAGGTTGCAATAAGCTGAGATCACACTATGCACTCCAGCCTGGGGGACAGAGTAAGACACAGGAAAAAGAAAAACAAAAAAAAGAAAGAAAAAAATTCTAACAAAATATTTGCAGGAGCCAAATGCTAATGCCACAAAAGATATCAAAGAATCCAGGTGTGGTGGCTCACACCTGTAATCCCAGCACTTTGGGAGGTGGGGGGAATCACCCGAGGTCAGCAGTTCAAGACCAGCCTGACCAATATGGAAAAACCCTGTCTCTACTAAAAATACAAAAATTAACTGGGCATGGTAATGCATGCCTGTAGTCCCAGCTACTCGGGAGGCTGAGGCAGGAGGACTGCTTGCACCCAGAAGGCAGAGGTGGTGGTGAGCCAAGATGGTGCCATTGCACACCAACTGGGCAACAAGAGTAAAACTCCGTCCAAAAAAAAAAAAAAAAGAAACTAAAGAAGAATGAAATAAATTAATAGATATACCACGTTCATGGATTGGAAGGCTCAATCTGAAGATGTCAATTCTTCCAAAGTTTATCTATAGATTCTTTTTTTTTTCTTTTTTTTTTTTTAGACGGAGTTTTGCTCTTCTAACCCAGGCTGGAGTGCAATGGCATGATCTCAGCTCACCGCAACCTCCACCTCCTGGGTTCAGGCAATTCTCCTGCCTCAGCCTCCTGAGTAGCTGGGATTACAGGCACGCGCCACCATGCCCAGCTAATTTTTTGTATTTTTTTAGTAGAGACGGGGTTTCACCGTGTTGACCAGGATGGTCTCGATCTCTTGACCTCATGATCCACCCGCCTCGGCCTCCCAAAGTGCTGGGATTACAGGCGTGAGCACCGCGCCCAGCCAATCTATAGATTCTTATATATACCTCCTATCACTGTTCCAGGAAAAAATACTTTGTAGACAACGACAAGCTAATTTTGAACCTTATATGCAAAGTGAAAAGAATCAAAACAATTTTGAAAATGAAGTTGGTGGGGACATATTACCAGATTTTATGCATTACTATAAACCTACAGTCAGACTGACACAATGTGGTACTGGAGAAAAGTTAGACAAATGGAATAATGGGATATAATAAAAAATCCAGAAAGAGACCCACACAAACAGAATCAACTGTTTTTTGATAAAGGTGCAAAGAAAACTTAGTGCAGACAGAAGAGTCTGTCTACCAAAGAATGACGAAAATAAAAAAGCACCAACAACATGAAGAGCCGGCAAGAATGTGGAGCAATTAGACACTCACACATGTGTGGCGGGAAGGCAAAATTTTCAGCCACATTGGAAAGACAGTTTGTGATTTCTTACTAGTTAAACATACACGTATCCTATGACCCAGCAATCCCATGCAAAGTGTTTACTCAAGATAAATGAAAACTAAGTTCCCACAAAAACCTGTATGTGAGGCTGGGCGCGGTGGCTCACGCCTGTAATCCCAGCACTTTGGGAGGCCGAGGTGGGTGGATCACGAGGTCAAGAGATCCAGACCATCCTGGTCAACATGGTGAAACCTCGTCTCTACTAAAAATACAAAAAAAAAATTAGCTGGACGTGGTGGTGCATGCACTCCAGCCTGGGTAACAAGAGCGAAACTCCGTCTCAAAATAAATAAATAAATAAATAAAAATAAAATATTAAGTCAAAACAGTTGGGGAATTTTTTTAAAAAAAGCTAAATCCAGACAACTGACATCCATCTACTCTGACAAAGTTGGGCAAATCCCCAGTTTTTTTTGTGTATCTTTGAAAATATGTTTTTTCAACTGCATTTTAACTTCGGTGGTGTTAATATTCTCCAGGAAGGAGACCTTGAAGCCAACAGCCCGAAGCTGCTTCCCTGCAGCGGTCCCTTCTGGAGATGGAGAATGAAACAGAATTCATCAGGACTAGGTTTGCTGAATTTGGTCTGTATAGGGAGGAAGAACAAGCCCTTCCTAAGGGCTCCTGGTGGACATTTGCTATGGAGAAAGAAAAAGATAGTATTTATTGTATTCGCCAACGGTGTCTTCAGGCGGAACACACAATAACTGTCCCTTAAGACATGTGGGATGCCGAGATTGGCAGATGACTGCGTTACTGGAGACTGACATGGAAAGTGCAGATGAAAATCCTCCAGAAACAGAAGCAAGAACTCTACCACAGCAAGCCTGGGATACCTGGCAGGAAGAAGTTACGCCCATTTCTGGAATAACTCGCCCACTCCTGTTTTATGCCCGACTCTCTGTTCTTAGGGCTCTGCCAGTGCTCATGAGCCCCCTGATGGTCACACCAGGACCCAGGCCCCACGCCAGACGGGACACACAGGATCAAAGACTACACGTGCCTCCCACCGGAGTCACCAGCGACCCTACTCCCCACGGTCCACAGCCCTGTGGCTCCCACTCTTCAGGCTGAGGCTCACATGGCATCAAAGAGATGTATTTGCTCACAGACCATTTATGCCGGCGATGCTACTATAATTACACAGGACAATTAACGTGACATAAATCAGCCCGGGTGCGGTGGCTCCCGCCTGTAACCCCAGCACTGCGGGAAGCTGAGGTGGGCGGATCACTTGAGCTCAGAAGGAGAACAGCCTGCCTGTCAACACGGGGAAACCCTGCCTCTACTGAAAATACACAAAAATTAGCCAGGTATGGCAGCGCACGCCTGTGATCCCAGCTGGAGGCCACTGCCCTCCAGCCTAGCTGACAGAGCTAGACTTTGTCTCAAAAAACAACCAAACAGACAAACAAAATTAAATTAAAAAAATTAAAGCAGCCTTTTCCAGCGGTGACGACCTACGCAGGAGAACATGCCTCTACAAAGGATCTCCTTCATCCGTCTCCGGAAGAGGAGAAAAGGAAACACAAGAAGAAACGCCTGGTGCAGAGCCCCAATTCCTACTTCATGGATGTGAAATGCCCAGGATGCTATAAAATCACCACGGTCTTCAGCCATGCACAAACGGTAGTTTTGTGTGTTGGTTGCTCCACTGTCCTCTGCCAGCCTACAGGAGGAAAAGCAAGGCTTACAGAAGGATGTTCTTTCAGGAGGAAGCAGCACTAAAAGCACTCTGAATCAGGATGAGTGGGAAACTATCTCAATAAACACATTTTGGATTAAAAAAAAATTAAAGCAAAAAGGAGGTAGTTGTTACTTCAATAATAAAGCGAAATTTTTAGAAAGAACTCAAAAAAATTAAAAAAAGAAAAAAAAACCAAAACTTGAAATAGGTGTAAAATAATTGGAAAGGGGGCAGGTGTGGTAGGTCACCCCTGAAATCACAGCACTTTGGGAAGCCAAGGTGGGCAGATCATGAAGTCAGGAGCTCAAGACTAGGATGACCAACATGGTGAAACATGGTGAAACATGCCTCTACTAAAAATACAAAAAAATTAGCCGGGCTTGGTGGCGCGTGCCTGTAATCCCAGCTACTCAGGAGGCAGAGGCAGGAGAATCTCTCAAACCTGGGAGGTGGAAGGTTGCAGTGAGCCTAGATGGCGCCACTGCACACCAGCCTGGGCAACAGAGCAAGAATTCATCTTAAAAAAAAAAAAAAAAAAAAAAATTGTAGCCGGGCGCTCTGGCTCACACCTGTAATCCCAGCTCTTAGGGAGGCAGAGGCGGGAGGACAGTTTGAGCCCAGGAGTTTGAGACCTGCCTGGGCAATATAGCAAGACCCCGTTCTCCACAAAAAGGAAAAAAACAAAAAGACAAAAAAAAAAAAATTGTAAAGGATTGGGGAAAAGAATAAAAATCCGGGGGATTCTGCATTCGGATGCTTTTTTCCTTTTCCCTGCTCTATCTAGAACTCCCCTCCCAAGTCCCTATCGGAAAGTGGGGGCAATGTACCGAGTGGCTCCATGAAAAGGAAGATATGGAACCCAAGTTAGCAGCCCCTACTCAAAAAAAGGAGAGCAACAGGACAGACCCAGCCAACAAAGGCAGACAGGAGAATGACTGTGCAGTCGCATTTTCTGTAAAAGCAAAGCGCTGATGCACAACCACACATCTTTCAGATTCTCTGCCCTGACCAACCTCCAGGTCACAGCCACAGGACTCCCCATGGACGCCCCTCGCCCTCAAAGCTACTGCAGAACCCAAGTGTGCACTTCTGCTCCTGAGGGGGACGGAAGGACAGTCCCCTGTGGTCGTGTCTGCAGGAGATGGGGGCCAGGGGTGGGAGACAAACTCCTATGAAATTTACCATGTACATAAACTACACTTTTTAAGTTCACGTCTGATATACTTTATGTCACTTTTAAAAATTAAAAGACCAGTCAACTTTTAAGAATAAATCAGGCGCAGTGGCTCATGCCCGTAATTCCAGCACTTTGGGAGGCCGAGGCAGGAGGATCACTTGAGGTCAGGAGTTCAAGACCAGCCTGGTCAACATGGTGAAACCCCATCTCTACTAAAAATACAAAAATTAGCCTGGCATGGTGGTGGGTGCCCGTAATCCCAACTACTCGGAAGGCTGAGGCAGGAGAATCGCTTGAACCGGGGAGGTGGAGGTTGTGGTGAGCTGAGATCGCACCACTGCACTCCAGCCTCGGTGACAGAGTGAGACTGTCTCAAAAAAAAAAATTAATTCATTAATTAAAAGGAAAAATAAAGAGACACACATTCCAATGGAAACATATGAACATAGAAATGACCCAGGGATGGGACGTGACGCATTTGGGAGATGCTTACAGGGATTAGCTTCAGAGACGTGGAAGGCAAGGACAGAGCAAGCTTTGAGGGTGTGATTTTATGAAATGCTGCCATTACCAGTGCTCAGGAAAGCCCTGTGGAGTTGTGCCCACACTCCCATCAGTGACAGGCTTAGGGAGGGAGGCTGTCTAATGTGGTGTAGCTGGACCCCTCACCACCTGAGTCTGACATTCCACCAAGCAGCAAGGTCCCATCAGCCTCACTCCAGGTCAGGCCCACAGGCCATAACCCAGCACCAGGGCCCACCCATCGACCTTGGGCCTGACGTGGTGGCTCACGCCTATAATCCCAGCACTTTGGAAGGCAGAGGTGGAAGGACCTCTTGAGCCTAGGGGTTAGAGAACAGCCTGGGCAACATAACAAGACCCCATCTCTATAAAAAATTTCAAAATTAGCCGGGTGTGATGGTGCCAGCGACTGAGCTACACGGGATGCTGAGCGGGGAGGATGGCTGGAGCCCAGGAGGTCAAGGCTACAGTGAGTGGTGACTGTGCATGGCACTCAGAGGGTACCCTGTCTCAAATAAACAAAGCAAAAATTGATCTTGTCACACATTGCCTGGAAAGCCTTTAACAGTTGGCTTCTTTGTGCCTGGCTGTGGTCACCACACACCTCCAGCCCTCAGCCCAGGGGCAGGGTCCCTGCTTCATGTCCTGCCCTTCCCCCCCCAGCTCCCTGCAGCCCAGTCAGCTCCTTTTCTCCAAGCTCAGCTGCCATTCACATCCCCCTTCTCGGGAAGCCCCCAAGTCTCCCCTTTGACCTCACTTCTCTGCTTTCCAAACTCCGGGGCAGAGTCCCACCAAGCCCTTACCCCAGGCAGACACCCCATTCATTCACTGAACGCACAGGGGAGTCGCCAAGCAGTGCCCCATGTTCTGAGGACTGAGCCCTGGGTGAAAACGCCCTGCAGGGAGGGAAGGAGGGAGGGAGGGTTTTTGATCTCGCAGGGGCTGTGCTGGGAAAGGCCGAGGTGGTGGGGGTGTCCTCCACACCGGGAAGCCTGGGGGGCGGGGACCAGGCCGGGTGCTCACCGAGGCAGGAGGCCCGGGTCAGTGGGGAGTGGAGTGGGGGGCAGGTCACCAGGGTGGAATCGAGTTTCGATCCACCCGAATCCCGCTCTCCTTCGGCCCCACCTCGAGGCGGGAAAGCAGGTCCCCGCGGCCGCCCAACCCGCCCGCGAAGGTTCCTCCTGCTCCCTCCCTCCACCTGGAGCCCGGACTTTGCCCCACGCACCTGCGCGGCCCCTCGGGACGCCCCCGCCCTGCAGCAGCCGGGACCACTTGACGGCCCTGCGGGTGAGCGTCACCAGGTAGCCGGAGAGGAACTCCTCGTAGGCGGCGGCGTCGAAGTCCTCGGGCCTCTCGAATCCGTACGGGTCGATCCTGCAACACCGAGAAGGGAGCCGGCGTCCCCGAAGTTTCCTCCAGGGGGTGGGGGGCCCACGTGGGGACCGCAGCCGCCGGGGACGCCTGAACCCCGCGCCACCCACCTGGGGACCCTCGAGCGCTCGGCGGGCTCCATGCCGGGAGGGAGGCGCGCACCGAGAGGGGCAGGCGGGTCCGGGATTCGCCTCCCGGCTCCCGGGCGCTTGAGTCCTTCCGGCGGGGCCGCGGGCGCGGGGGGGCGGGGCGGAGGCGGGGCGGGGGGAGGGGCAGGGGGAGGGAGGACCCAGGGCGGGGGGGGAGGACCTGGGCGCGGGTCGCTGTTGGGGGCGGGGAGGGAGGACCGGAGGGCGGTGCTGGGGGCGGGGAGGACCCGGGGCAGGGGCGGGGCTGGGGTCGGGAGGTTCGGGGGAGGGAGGAGGGGCAGATGGGGATGGGGCAGGACGAGGGGGCGGTGCTGGGGCGGTGCTGGGGCGGTGCTGGGGCGGGGCGGGCCTGCTCCGGGGGCCTCGGGGGCCGCGGCGTCCCGGGCAGGGTGGGCGGAATCGGAGGCGCCCCCCGCAGACTGGACCCGGGTTGCCGGAGACACGCGGTGCGGATTCCTCTGCGATTTCAGACCTCAGGGCCTGGCAGACCCGACCGACATCTGACTCCTGTTTTTAACGTTCTCCGCTACATTTCAAGGCCGAACCCCATATGCAGATGAGAAGCCCGTAGTCCCCGCTCCCGCTCCCCCCGCAAACCAGGGCCCAGGGCCTGGAGCCCCGCGCGGAGCCGGGGTGCCCCCACCGGCGAGCAAGGCCCGGGAGACGGGGCGCCCACCGGCCTGGGCTTCCTGGGAGAATCTGGGCGGCTCCGGTTCTGACCGGCTTCTTCTCGGTCCGCATCCCAGGACAGTGTCCTGGGATTCCAGCTGCTTCTCCTGCCCGGGAGGGCCTCGGAAATTTGCCAAAACTGCGGGGTTTGAATTTTGCTCTGGCGACGTGGCTAGGGGAGACTTCAGAGGTGACGTTTTGGGGCGTCCTCGCACTGGGTCCCCCGACGGTCTGGAGCGGGCTGGGGGGTGCGACAGGGGGTCTCCCGCAGGCCCAGGAGGAGGCGCCGTTCCGGACTCACGCGCTTTCCTACTAGCAGCAGTGCTGGCCTCGTCGGGCGAGGCGGGATTAGCGGCTCTGCGTTCCCCTGCGCGTCCTCAGGGCCGTTGGGAACTAACTTGGGACCTTCCCATCGGTGTTTCTGGAACGTTTCGTCGAGTGCCGCCCAGGAGCCTGGAAAGCCGCGTGTGGAACTGACCGGTCCCTAAGTGGGGACCCCCGCCTCTGCCTTTCACGCTTCTCCAGCGCCCCCTGCGAGACCGTGGGGTTCAGTGCTCGGGGGCAGAACCCAGACCTGCTTCCTCCCTTCTTAGTCGGCTGGTTCTGAGAACTCGAGCTTTCAGCCCAGCTCTGCAGCCCTGGCCTTGGGTAACGCCCAGCGTCCCTCTGAAAGATCGCACAGCCCCCTACTCTGCGCTCTGACCTTGCTGGGATGTTTACACTTAAACCGGGAGACAGGCCATAGCCTCCTGCCCCTCAGCAAGCAGGTACCTCACAACCAGGACTGGCAGGTGGCCTTCGAACCCCATCTGGGCTCCTCTCCCCTACTCAATGGCTCCCTGAACCCCTCCAGTTCTGACTGAACCCCATTTTCTACATTGTGTCGCTTGTACTTTCTGGAGCAACGGACACAGTCCTGCTCCCCACGTCCCAGCACCTGGGGTCCTGTACCCTAACAGCCCTACACCACCCAGCTTCTGTTCCAACCCTAGGCCTGGGAGCCTCACGGCCCCCCTTTTCCCTAATTCCTGCCCTCTACCCACGGAGATGGGGTTCTAACCTCCCTTCCCCACCACTGCCGTGGAAAGCATCGTAGCAGGAGGCAAGACCGGGGACCATGGGCTCCGGAGCCTGAGTGTGATGGTGGGACCGCCACCAAGTGTATTTTTGGGCCAGATGTAGGGAGAATGTGGGAGCAAGTCAGATAAGAGTGGAGAGGAGAGATACAGAGAGGCCAGCGCCCCAGGCTCTGAGGAGGGTGGGCAGACAGAGGGAGGCAGCTGGAAAGGCCTTCTGCTCCAGCCCAGGCCTGTACACGCCCCACCTAAACAGCTCCCACCTGGGACCGTGTCTACAGGTGCCGCCATTCACCAAGCACCGGACAGGTGCCTGAGCATCCGCACACAAACTCCCTTTCTGCGAAGCCACCAGCAGGGTCAGCCATGATGTAAAAGCCAGAGGCACACCCACCTGAGCCTGAGTGTGATCGCAACCACAGCTGGCCCAGGACAGCACTTCCTGGGGAGGCTTTGTGGTGCTGGAGCGCTGGGTCCGCTCACCCTGCAGTCCAGGGACTCAGAATCATCACCCAGGGGGACCCAGCTCCCCTGCAGGAGGCCCCCTTCAGTCTGAGGGGCCTCAAGTTTCTGCACCCACGATGCACCTCCTCCCTTCAGGAATTCAGCTGTCTTGTCGCTTTTTTTTGGTTTTTTTGAGACAGAGTTTTGCTCTTGTTGCTCAGGTTGGAGTGCAATCGTGTAATCTCAGCTCACCACAACCTCTGCCTCCCAGGTTCAAGTGATTCTCCTGCTTCAGCCTCCTGAGTAGCTGGGATTACAGGTGGGCACCACCATGCCTGGCTAATTTTGTATTTTTAGCAGAGACGAAGTTTCTCCATGTTGGTTACTCTGGTCTCAAACTCCCGACCTCAGGTGATCCGCCTGCCTCGGCCTCCCAAATTTCTGGGATTACAGGCGTGAGCCACGGTGCCCGACCCTTGCTCTTCTGTAGAAGCTGCTGCCCTTTGGAAGTTAGAAGGGCTTCAGGAGTACTTCAGTTCTGGGGTGCCCATCAAGATGGGATGAACTTACTTTTGTCCTTACTTGTGTCACGTAAGTAGCTGAACTGTTGTTCTCGTTGGAACCAAATGCGCTGTTCCAGTTCAAGTTAAAGTCTCCTCCAGGGCCCTGACCGTGGGCGCAGCCTCAGGCTGATGCAGCTTTCTTGGACCTGTTGCTGATCAGCAGGCTCCCCACTCTCCTCCCCACCGTCCTCCCCACACCGTGCTCCTGCTGCTGATCAGCAGGCTCCCCACCCTCCTCCCCGTACCATGTTCCTGCTGCTGATCAGCGGGCTCCCCAACCTCCTCCCCACCCTCCTCCCCACATCATGCTCCTGCTGCTGATCAGTGGGCTCCCCACCCCGCTCCCCACACCGTGCTCCTGCTGCTGATCAGCAGGCTCCCCACCCTCCTCCCTGCTCCACTCCAGACAAGAAAACCACTTTTTGCCCGAGTCAGGACATCACAGGTCTAACACACTTGGAATCATCCTTTCAAAAACAGTGCCAAGTCGAGGTTTAAAAAACGCTCCCTATATATTTGTGGCAACCATCTTCTACTTTCTGCTTTTATGCACTGGCAGATTTGCTTCTTTTTTTTTTTCCGGTGAGGGTGGTTCGTGACAGGGTCTCGTTCTGTCACCTAGGCTGGAGTGCGCGGTATGATCCTGGCTCACTGCAGCCTGGAACTCTCGGGCTCCAGTGATCCTTCTACCTCAGCCTCCCAAGCAGCCAGGACCACAGGCATGTGCCACCACACCTGGCTAAGTTTTTAGTTTTTGTAGAGACAGGGGTCTTGCTATGTTGAGTAAGCTGGTCTCCAATTTCTGAGCTCAAGCAATCGTCCTGCCTTGGCCTCCCAAAGCACTGGGATTATAGGCATGAGCCACTGTACCTGGCCCCGATTTGATTTTTATTTGATGAGAGAGAAGAGTACTTACAGGGAAAAGGATAGGAAGATTGGAGTTGGCTTTAAAAATACTCCAGCATGCCAGGCATAGTGGCTTATGCCTGTAATCCCAGCACTTTGGGAAGCCGAGGCAGGCAGATCACAGCTCAGGAGTTTGAGACCAGCCTGGCCAAGATGGTGAAAGCCCGTCTCTACTAAAAAAATACAAAAATTAGCTGTGTGTGGTGGCGCATGCCTGTAACCCTAGCTTCAGGAGATTGAGGCATGAGAATCGCTTCAACCCAGGAGGTGGAGATTTCAGTAAGCCGAGATTGCACCACAGCACTCCAGCCTGATGACAAGAGGAGACTCTGTGTCAAAAAAAAAAAAAAAAATACAGCCAGGCATGGTGGCTCATGCCTGTAATTCCAGCACTTTGGGAGGCCAAGATGGGTGGATCACAAGGTCAGTAGTTTGAGACCAGCCTGACCACCATGGCGAAACCCTGTCTCTCCTAAAAATACAGAAATTAGCCAGGCATGGTGGTAGTGCACACCTGTCATCCCAGCTACTCAGAAGGCTAAGGCAGGAGAATCGCTTAAACCCAGGAGGCGGAGGTTACAGTGAGCTGAGTTTGTGCCAGTGCACTCCAGCCTGAGTGACAGAGTGAGACTCCATCTCAAAAACAGAAAAAAAAAATACTCTTGCAGGCTGGGAGTGGGGCTCATCCCTGTAATCCCAGCACTTTGGGAGGCCAAGGCAGGCAGATCACTTGAGATTAGGAGTTTGAGATCAGTCTGGCCAACACGGTAAAATCCCATCTCTACTAAAAGTACAAAAAATAGCCGGGCGTGGTGGTGTGTGCCTGTAATCCTGGCTACTTGGGAGGCTGAGGCAGGAGAATGGCTTAGGAGGTGGAGGTTGCAGTGAGCCAAGATCACACCACTGCACTCCAGCCTGGGCAAGAGTGAGGCCCTGTCTCAAAAACAAAACACAACAACAACAAAAATATACTCCACCAAGGGAAAAAAAAGGAGAGGGTAGATTGCAACATGATGAAAATCTTTGAAGGCCGGGCACGGTGGCTCACGCCCGTAATCCCAGCACTTTGGGAGGCTGAGGCGGATGGATCACGAGGTCAAGAGATCGAGACCATCCTGGTCAACATGGTGAAACTCTGTCTCTACTAAAAATACAAAAAAAAAAAAAAATTAGCTGGGCATGGTGACATGTGCCTGTAGTCCCAGCTACTCAGGATGCTGAGGCAGGAGAATTGCCTGAACCCAGGAGGCGGAGGTTGCAGTGAGCCGTGGTGCAATGTGATACGGCATTGCATAACAACCGCAATCAAGTTCTGCAAGAATGAGGCCCTGGTGGTTCACGCCTATAATCCCAGCACTTGGGGAGGCTGAGGTGGGTTGATCGCTTGAAGTCAGGAGTTCGAGTCCAGCCTGGCCAAGGTAGTGAAACCCCGTCTCTACTAAAAATACAAACATTAGCTGATCGTGGTGGCGCAAGCCTGTGGTCCCAGCTACTCAGGAGGCTGAGGCAGAATAATTGCTTGAACCTGGGAGGCAGAGGTTGCAGTGAGCCGAGATCAAGCCACTGCACTCCAGCCTGGGTAAGAAGTCTTGTCTCGAAAAAAAAAAAAAAAGAAAAGCAGCAGCTACTTTTTGCTTTAGCCGCGTTCTTGGCTGGACTCCACTCAGTGCTGGCAGCAAATGCTTGTCACAGAGGAAGCCTGGTGGGATATGCTGTGGGACCCTGCAGGCAGGATGCGGGTGCCCACCGGGGTGCTTCCTTAGCTCCCATATGAGGATGGGGAAGCCCCAGGGCCACATCCTCTGACGTTCCTGTGCCACGTGAGAGAATGGGGTGTGGGTGCTGGAAGCCCGGGGAGGGGACTGCACCGGGGTCCCAGGACCACAGGTGCCTTGTACTCCCTTACTGGCTGTTTTTTCCACAGGAATGACTGATTTAATCACACCCATGGCAGATTGATCCCCGGAGAGACGAGGCTGGGGACTACCGCCTGATGACTGACCTGAGGATCTGACCCCTGCACACTCTGTGGGCATCTCCAGCTTGAGGCACACCCACCCACAGGTATCCCGGAGCCCCCGCCAGCCTCCCAGAAGGTCTGCAGAGGGGCCTGCCAGCCCTGCAGCCCTTGGGCCTGAGCACAGAGCATCCAGGGCTGCCTGTCTCCCTGCACGCCTCTCTGGACTGAATGTGGACTCTGGTAACAGCTCCATCTGCGAGTCCCCAGTTCCCGGGACAGCTCCAGTTATTCACTGTGCAACAGATTGCCCCAGCGTTGTGGGTGGAACAACAGTGCTCCTCATTGTGCTCTTCCCAGGTTCTGGGTGGCCTGGCACCTCCAGGCGGCCCTCAGGGTCTCTCCATCATGGTCACACCCCTGGGGCCAGGGGGGATCTGAGGGCTGCTCATGATGCACCTGGGGTCCATCGCTGGGTGGCCCACCCACGCTTGTCTGCAGTGCCTGCATACTACCTGGAGGCTGGGCTTGGAGAGCTGGTGTCCTGGATAGACAAGAGGAAACTGTGTCGCCACGTTGCTTCTGCCAAGTCACAGCCGCCGAGAGTCAGGGGCAAAACATAGACCCCTCTCCTCCACATAGGAGCCAGTCACAACTTAGGAGGAGTGGTGCTGCCAGGAGCACTTCGAAACATAGGACCTGTGACTCCTAAACATGGCAGGCGCCCACCCAGGGCCTGCTGGATTCATGGGCAAATGTGAGGAAAAATGAGCTGGGGTCTGTGTGATGTCACCCTCCAAGACATGCCAGAAAGTTCTGACGCGTCGGATGAATGGGGACTAATGGGGACTGACAGAGACGACTGGTGGAAGCTGATGTTAACTAATGGGGACTGACAGAGACTGATGAGGACTGGTGGGAGCTGATGGGGACTAATGAGGACTGATAGACTGAGGGTGTCTGATGGGGGGGGCCTGCCACCCTTGGGAACTGATGGGGTCTGATGGGTCTGATCGAGATGATGGGATCTGTTGGGGATGTTGGGTCCTGATGGGGATGTTGGGGTCTGATGGAGACTAATGGGGGATGATGGGGACTGATGGGGATGTTGGGGTCTGATGGGTCTGATGGAATCTGATGGGATCTGATGGGTCTGATGGGGATGTTGGGGTCTGATAGAGACTAATGGGGGATGATGGGGATGATGGGGACTGATGGGGCTGGGCCAAGGACTGTGGCCCACATTTTCATGTTGAAGAGCCTGATGTGGTCTGATTTATGCTTTTAAAAAGTATTTCCCCAGTTATTCTGTAGCTTGCAGTCTGACAAGAACAGAGGCAGGGTTCATTGAGGAGGGTTAGAGAAGACAGTGGCCTGGAGTAGAGCAGCTGGGGAGGAGGAGTCGCCCCTGGATTTTGTGCTGAGCAGGGGGCAGCAGGAACTGCTTCCAGTGGATTGTCCAGGTTTGTTAATTGCTTTCATTCTTCTCTACTTCATCGACCCTGGGAAAGAAGGAAGTATACATCGGGAAGCCTTAATTCAGACTATTTTTACTGTTGAAAAGTAATGGCTTTCTCTAGATTAGAATTTAGGAGCAGTAATATAAAGATTCGTGAGATGAGCCGGGCGCGGTGGCTCACGCCTGTAATCCCAGCACTTTGGGAGGCCGAGGCGGGTGGATCACGAGGTCAAGAGATCAAGACCATCCTGGTCAACATGGTGAAACCCCGTCTCTACTAAAAATACCAAAAATTAGCTGGGCATGGTGGCCCGTGCCTGTAATCCCAGCTACTCGGGAGGCTGAGGCAGGAGAATTGCTTGAACCCAGGAGGTGGAGGTTGCGGTGAGCCGAGATGGCGCCATTGCACTCCAGCCTGGGTAACAAGAGCGAAACTCCGTCTCAAAAAAAAAAAAAAAAAGATTTGTGAGATGAAACTCATACATCCAGAGAAACTACTTACACTTGGCATAGCGTTACTAGATTTAGCTAATAAAAATGCAAGTACAGGACACCCAGAGTGAGACATACTTACACTAATATAGAGGAAGGAAACGAAACAGAGCAAAGCACTTCCTCTACTCTACTGCTTGAGGCACCTTGGACCTGGAAATCGACTGACCAGACAGATTAACAACAGAAAAAGACAGTTTTGAGAAAGTTTTGAAAAAAAACAAAACAAAACAAAAAAAAACTCCAAAAAGCACTTTGGAGGCCAAGGCGGGCGGATCACCTGATGTCGGGAGTTCAAGACCAGCCTGACCAACATGGTGAAACCCTGTCTTTATTAAAAAAAGAAAAGAAAAGAAAAAAGCAGAGAAGGGGTTTCACAAAACTGGGCAGGATGGTCTCAAACTCCCGACCTTGTGATCCGCCAGCCTCATCCTCCCAAAGTGTTAAGACAGGCGTGAGCCACCGCACCCAGCCAAAAGACAGTTTTCATTATATCCACAGTGGCTGGCCAAAATATCTATCAGGATCTCCTGAGGTGGGGTCAGAGTTCAGGTTAGACAACAAACCCGGGGTTTGGGCTTTTGGAGCGCAGTGAGCGGTGGGAAGGTAACCAGGAAGTGTATGGTGAACCAGGTCATCAGGAAATGTGCCACGTAGGCCAGGCACAGTGGCTCACACCTGTCATCTGTGAAAGTCCAGACAGAGAAGACAAAGAGACCAATGATGACCGAAGAGAACTTTAATTTGGGCGCCCGGGCCAGCAGCAGGCTCACGGTTATAATGGCCACCGACAGCAACAAAGCAGCAGTTTAGCTTATATGCGGTTTGAGGCAGGAGGCGGGTTTTACAATCGTGGGCTTCGTGGTCATTTAACTCTATGACCTTGCAGCTGAGGTAAGGGGTCGAAACACTGGGGAGCACACCCAGGGAGATGAGAGGAACAGGAAATGCAGAAGCATGTTGGGGCGCAGACCCTCTCTCTACATAGATAAGACCCAAGACGTGCTCCAGGCTCTCATCTATGTAGAGAGAGGGTGGTGCCAGGTCTGCTTTGCCTTTGCTTTTTTCCTAATGCAGCTTATAATCTAGCCCAGAATGCAAGATAAGCTTGCAGCTTCACCAGGGAGAGGTTACTTAAATTCCTTACCTTTGTACAACCCTTAAATGGCCTTTACTTCAAGTTTAACTACTACCTATGTTATGCTTATTATTTAAACTATAGTTTGTGCTATTTTATTTCATTTTATTTTCCTTCCACAAAAGAAAATTCAATCTTGAACTGAGCACCATGGCTCATGCCTATAATCCCAGTACTTTGGGAGGCTGAGGCGGGCAGATCACACGGTTAGGAGATCAAGACCAGCCTGGACCAACATGGTGAAACCACGTCTCTACCAAAAATACAAAAATTAGCCGGGTGTGGTGGTGGGTGCCTGTAATCTCAGCTACTAGGGAGGCTGAGGCGGGAGAATCTCTTGAACCTGGGAGGCAGAGGTTGCAGTGAGCAAAGATGGGGCCATTGTACTCCAGCCTGGGTGACAGAGCAAGACTCCATCTCAAAAAAATAAAAATAATAATAAAATAAATCTTGAGACCCCAAACTCAGTAAGCCAAAGGAAGAAGTCAGGCTGGGAATCGGGTCATGCAAACCCGCCTCCCCTCTTGGTTTCTAAATAAGATGGCAACAAGATGTAAAGCTACACGCCTCCCCAATATTTTGCCCATGAGGACATTCCTAGTGAGCTCCAAGATCTTCACCCTCAGGTGTTTCTGTTCAGGTTTCTCCATGGCAATGTAAGTGGATGGCTCATCCTTCCAGGTGCAGTCACCCCGGCCCATCAGACACGAGTGCATACCACCTGATTATTGCTCCCCAGCCCCATTCTGTCCCTGTCATCTTAAGTGCAGATCCCCGTATTTTACCTCTGCCCCATTTGTCTTTGTGATCTTATGTAAAAATATGGATTCACTGAGCCAGACAAAGACATGAATGACTATTTTTCCCAACCTTCCTCTTGCACAAAAATTGTGCACTTTTCAATATCCTGTTTTTCCTTCTTTAAATTTGGAGCCCTCAAAATCATCTTCAGAGAAAGCCTGAGACCTGTCTCCTGGGTGCACATGCTTAACTTTGGCAAATAAACCTGCTCAGGTGACTGAGACTTGTCTCATCATTTTTCTTTGGGAGGCCAAAGCGGGTGAATCACTTGAGGTGGCAAGTTCAAGACCAGCCTGGAGAAACCCCGTCTCTACCAAAAATACAGAAATTAGCTGGGCGTGGTGGCGCATGCCTGTAGTCCCACCTACTCAGGAGGGTGAGGCAGGAGAGTCGCTTGAACCCAGGAGGTAGAGGTTGCAGTGAGCCGAGATCACGCCACTGCACTCCAGCCTGGGTGACAGAGTGAGACTCTGTCTGAAATAAAAATAAAAGATTAAGAAGCAATAAGGTGTGGGGTCCTCCAAGGTGAGCGGAAAGTGTTTTGAATACATAAAGGTTGTCCGACCTACCCTCTGCGGGAAGACTGGGCTCACTGGGAAAGAAACCGGACCGCAGGCTAGAGGAAATTCCTTAAGTTCAGGCTTTATTGAGAGGAAAGAGCCTCTGGGCGGACCAGCCGGGAGGAAGAGCAGAATGGCCGCGCAGCTCAGAGGGGCAGCGTTGTTTTATAGGGGGCTGAAGGGCTGGGGGGTGGGGAAGCCAAAAGCCGAGGTGGTGGGCAACTGTTGGTCAGTTTGAACTGCTGGGCGGGAAGCTGGGCTGCGGGAGGGCTAGGGCCGGTATGTAAAGTGAGAGATAAGGGAGCCTCTTTGTGGGGGAGGGAAAGAGAGAGAGAGCTTTTGCGGTAGGGGCAGAGTTTTCCAAACATTCCCGACTCCTTAAAGAAAAGAAAAAGAGGGGGTCAGGGGCGTCGGTTGTCTCTCTAGCTACTTCCTGCTGACAAGGGTCGATGGGGGTTCTGAAGAGGTCTCTTTTCTTAACGAGCCTGGATGTTCGGGGAGAGGTCTGTTTCTTGCACTCGTTCAGGGTAGGGTTGGAGCAGCATCTGGTGGATGGTGACTCGAGTCAGTTCTTGAAAGCGCCGCTATAGGAACTGTAGAAAGCAAGGAGCAATAAGTAAGATTAGGCAAACAGCTACTAGGGGCCCAAGCAATGGGGACAAGAGGGTATACATAGAGGAAGACCACCACGCCGTGGCTTCAGCCAAGAACTTCTGACTCTGCAGGTTAGTTTTGAGTTTCTGGAGGCTCTCGATTCGGGTTTCTACTAGGCCGGATTCATTGATGTAGTAACAGCACTCTTCCTGTAGGAAGATACAGGTCCCTCCTCGTTCAGCAGTGAGCAGGTCCAGGGCTCTTCGGTTCTGCAAGGCAACTTGGGCAACTGAGGTGATCTGTCGTTGGAGTGATGCTAAAGACTCAGTAGAGTCATCAATAGCCGCTTGGAGTTGTGAGGTCAGTCGGGCTATGGCCAGGTGAGAGTGGACTAGTGCCCCTCCTCCTAATCCTGAGTAAAGTAGGGGAGGTAGCTGTCTAGAGGAGTAGTCTCTGGCGGTGGGGGAGTTGAAAGCAGGAAGGGGCAACCATACAGCAGCTCAAATGGGCTAAGCTGTGATGGGCCCCGGGGGCTTGCTCTTACTCTGGTGAGGGTGATAGGAAGTAAGGTTACCCAGGATTGGCGGAGCTCAAGCATGAGCTTGGTCAGATGCTCCTTTATTAGGCCATTGGCCCGTTCTACCTTACCAGAGGACTGGGGATGGTAGGCGGCATGTAGCTTCTACTGAATTCCTAGAGAGGTAGAAACGGCATTAGTGACTTTGGAGATAAAGGCTAGGCCGTTGTCTGACTGTATGGTAGCTGGGAGTCCAAAGAGTGGGATGATGTCTTGAATGAGATGAGTGGCTACTGTCCCGGCAGACTCAGAGGCTGTGGGGTAAGCTTCAATCCAGCCTGAAAAAGTGTCAACAATGGTTAGCAGATACCGGTACTGTTTGTGCTTTGGCATATAGGTGAAGTCAATTTGCCAGTCTTGGCCAGGTAGGAACCCGCGTAGCTGATGAAGCTGGCGCCGGGGATGACAGGAACCCTGGGAATTAGTTTTCGCGCAGACAGTACATGAGGACTGGACTTCCTGTATGGTACTGAGGAGATGGTGAGGGTGAAAAAGTGGGTTGAGGAATCGGTATAAGGCTTTAGGCCCAATGTAGAGTGGATTGTGGATGTCTTGGATTATCTGGTACCTTTGCTTTTCAGGGAGGATGAGGAGGTTATGCTTGAAGGCCCAGTCATCCTTGAACCGTACCCCGGGGGTAGACTGGAGGGCCTGGAGTTCCGAGGCAGAGTATTGAGGGCTAGGAGAAAAAGGCTATGTGGGCTGGCGGTGGGGAAGGTTATGACGGCCTTCAGCTTTGAAAGGATGTCTCGCCCCAGAAGGGGAACTGGGCAGGTGGGGATTACTAAAAAGGAGTGGGTGAATGGAGTGGAGTTATATGAGCACATGAGTGGTGGGGTTTGGTAGGGGATACTCGGGGTCCCATCGATTCCCATGACTAAGACCTGGGAAGGGGTGAGATGGCCAGAATAAGAAGGAATTGCGGAGTAGGTAGCCCCCATGTCTTGTGACCCTAGGCTCGGCGAGGGTAACCGGAGTCGGAAAGCCAGGGCCCCGCTAGTCATCTAGCAGCCCTAGTAGACTGGGGAACGGAGCTCCCTCGGAGGTCGGCTCCTGGCAAGCAGGCTCCTCCATACTGAGGGTGACTGCCGGCTGTGTAACACCAGTGTGTCTGTTTTGAGGAACCGGCACCCTGGGGAAGCTGGGGCAGTCTGACTTCCAGTGTCCCGGGAGCCGACAGATAGGGTAAGGCTTAGTTGGTGGCCGTGGTTGTGGACAGGCTCGGGACCAGTGTCCTTCCTTTCCACATTTGAAACATGCCCCTGGAGGGGCATGGGTTTCGGCCTTGGGCTTCTGGTTCCCTGCCAGCCTTAGAGCCGCCACTAGGGCTTGGGTCTGGAGGGCAGCCTTCTGCTTCATGCGAGTTTGGCGGGCAGCCTCAGCCGCATCTTCCCTGGCATTGAATACTTTAAAGGCCATTTTTACCAGGTTTTGGATGGGAGTCTCTGGCCCCTCTTCTGCTTTCTTTAGTTTCTTTCTTATGTCGGGTGCTGATTGGGAGATAAAATGGGAGGCTAATACAGTGGCCCCGTTTTGGGAGGCTGGGTCTAGTCGAGTATACCAGACTAGGGCTTCTTATGCTTGAGTGAGGTATTGGAATTCTTTAATATATGTGGACGGGTTGGCTGAGAAGGATCCTAAACGTGTCTCAATTTGGGACAGGTCTTGGAGTGAGAAAGGAACATGGACCCTGATTAAACCTTCTGCGCCTGCCACTTCTCGGAGTGGGGCCAGGATAGCTGGCTGGTGGGAGTGGGTGTGGGCCGCCACCGGAGAGGCAAGAGGAAGTGCGGCCTCTGAGGGAGGGGGCTCGGAGGGAGTAGAGGGAGAGCGAGGCATGGCCTCTGAGGTAGGAGGTGCAGAGGGAGTGGGGGAAGGGCGTGCCGTTGATGGCGACTGGTTGCTGAGATTGGCAGGAGAGGACAGATGTTCAGGCAGATCCTCCGGTGAGGAGTAGGGAGGGGGAGAGGTAGTGGAGGAAGATTTACGGGGGGTTCGAGATAAGAGGATTTGGTAGGTGGAGCAGGAAGAACATAGGTCGGGGTGGGTACGGAGGTCCCAAAAAGCCTGGACGTAAGGAATTTCATTGTCCTTGCCCATGCGGCGACAAAAATCGTCGAGATCTCGGAGGGTGTTGAAATCAAAAGTGCCAGTCGGGGGCCAATGTGACTGGTTACCGAGTTTGTATTGGGGCCAAGCCACCTGAGACAGGAAGATAAGCTTTTTCTTTCTGAGGGTTTGGGAATATCCCAATTTGGTAAAATTCGCAGCAAGCACCCAAGGGGGGTGCTCAGAGGTATTTTGGACTCCGAATTTCCCATGGCAGGCGCAGCTACAGACTCTCCGGCGTGGATGGGCAGATGCAACGAAAAGGCGTCCCATTCGTTGCAAATTCCCCGGAGTACAATTAAGTACGGAAAGGGAAGCGGTCAGAGGGGCGTCCCCCGTCTGGCGGCTGTCCCTCGGAAGGCTCCTGGAGCCAGAACGGAAGACTACCTTGGCTCGGCCGAGACTAGGCAAGGAGTCCGTGCGGAACGCCGGAGAGGGAGCAACTGCACCGTGCCGTAGGAAGAGGAGACGGGAAGCGGGGGAAGGCAAAGCAAGAAAAAACTTGGCTTACCTTAATCGGAACGTGGAGGTGGCAGGGCCAGTGTTGGGTAGGTAGGGGAGGGGGGCCGTGGCCAGGCCAATGGCCTCAGCTCCCGTCCCGGGTTTCCGGCACCATTTGTCCAACCTACCCTCTGCGGGAAGACTGGGCTCATTGGGAAAGAAACCGGACCGCAGGCTAGAGGAAATTCCTTAAGTTCAGGCTTTATTGAGAGGAAAGAGCCTCCGGGCGGACCAGCCGGGAGGAAGAGGAGAATGGCCGCGCCGCTCAGAGGGGCAGGGTTGTTTTATAGGGGGCTGAAGGGCTGGGGGGTGGGGAAGCCAAAAGCCGAGGTGGTGGGCAACTGTTGGTCAGTTTGAACTGCTGGGCGGGAAGCTGGGCGGCGGGAGGGCTAGGGCCGGTATGTAAAGTAAGAGATAAGGGAGCCTCTTTGTGGGGTAGGGAAAGAGAGAGAGAGAGAGAGAGCTTTTGCGGTAGGGGCAGAGTTTTCCAAACAAAGGTAAATATTAACAATCTAGACGAGGAATCTAATCTTTATTAACTTAAAAATAAATAAATTCTTGAAGCCAGAGTTAGATCATGTGAAATTTGTATTCAGACACAAAAGCACAACTTCCAAGGCACTTTTGCATTCAATCAGTTAATCAACAAAATTGATTTAAGACTACTGTGACTACTGTCAGGATAAATATAAATTTAAAAAATAAACATGAACTGGCCGGGCACAGTGGCTCATGCCTGTAATCGCAGCACTTTGGGAGGCTGAGGCGGGTGGATCACGAGGTCAAGAGATCGAGACCATCCTGGTCAACATGGTGAAACCCCGTCTCTACTCAAAATAAAAAATTCGCTGGGCATGGGGGTGCGTGCCTGTAATC